GTAGACGAGAGTAATCCAAAAAACACATTTTAAGGATTTGGGATCTAATTTAGTTACTCAAGGACGAACATCACGAGCATAACAAGTACTACCAAATATTCTAGGTTCAATAGAAAACAAGGGTTTAGTAGGGAAAATGACACTATAAGGAGTCTCGCCTTGAAGAACAGATGAAGGCATCCGATTGATCAAAAAAGGATGTGGAGACCGCATCAACCCAAAAATGTTTAGGAACATGAGTGCCCTTGCTGTCTCAAGAAGATGTCTATTTCTCGTTCAGCCACACCATTCTGAGAGGGGGTGTCAACACACGAGGATTGGTGAAGAATACAATTCTGAAGCATGTAAGTCTGAAAAGAATCGAAAAAATATTCTTTGACATTATCACTTCTCAACGCATGCACAGAAACATTAAAATGTGTTTTAATTTCAGCACAAAAAGCACTTAAATGAGAAAATAATTCAGAACGATTCTTAATTAAATAAAGTCATGTCACACGAGAAAAATCATTAACAAAGGTAACAAAATACCGAAATCCAGTTTTGGACACAACAGGACAAGGACCCCAAACATCTGAATGAGCGTTACAAAAGGAAAACTAGCTCTCTTATTAACTTGAGGAACTGAGGACAGACAATGATGTTTTACAAACTGACACAACTCACAATCTAAAGACGATACATTCTGAAACTGAGGACATAATTTCTTTAGCAAAGATAATGATGGATGTCCCAATCGACAATGTGCTTCAAAAGGAGTTAAGACACCTGAACACGCAATGGGTTTGGGCACCTAGGTATCCAGAATATAGAGACTACCTAATTCATGTATTTACCAATAATCTTCTTCGTCATAAGATCCTGAAAAAGACAATAATCAGGAAAAAAATGAAATGCAACAGTTTAGGGTTCGAGTAAGTTTGCTCACAATAATATTGAAAGTAAAATGTGGTAGACTTAAGATCGAAGATAAAGAAATTAATGGAGTTGGATTAATAGTGACAGAACCAAGAACAGAAGAAGTAGAACCATCAGCTAAAGTAACACTGGAAGGAGATTTATGTGACTTAAAAGTGGAGAAGAGACTAGGATTACATGTCTATGATCTGTGGCACCAGAATCAATGACCCAATTTGAGGAAGAGGAAAGAAGACATGAATCGAGTTTACCTGTCTCAGCAATGGAGAAGATAGGTCGAGATGAATTCTTCAATACTTCTTGGTACTGAGTGAATTTAGCAAATGTATCTGCAGAAATTGTAATGGTTTGATCGGAGGAAGAGATGGGTGTAGCAGTAGTAGTGACAACATGAGCTGAGTCTGACTTCAGAGATTTAGAAATACTCTGCAAATAAATCCGAACTGTCTTACACCAATCTAAATAATTCGAACCAACCAACTTATGTTATGTGATTTTGGACATCATCGGAATCAGTCACAACTAAATTCTTTTGCTCAGCAACCATAGAAATAAACCACAGTATCCAAATCTCCACACAATAGTCCACACAAAAGCCCAACAAGCCCAATAAATAAGTCAGCCCAATAACTAACTCTACAGGCCCAATAATCAAAATAAATAACAAAGGACTCAGGCCCAATAAAACATTCAGAAGAGCCCAAATAGCCTGTGTCGAAACACCTTAGCAAAATGGGGTAGTCGAGAGGAAACATCAACACTTGCTCAATGTTGCTCGAGCTCTTAAGTTTCAAGCTAACCTTCCTCACCAATTTTGGGGAGATTGTCTCTTAACTGCCAACTATATCATAGATAGGACTCCTACCAGTCTTCTCGAAAATAAAACTCCCTATGAAACACTATTTCAGACAGCTCCTTTCTACAACCACTTACGAGTCTTCAGATGTCTGTGCTACGCTTCTACCTTGAGAAGGAATAGATCAAAATTTGACCCAAGGGCAGTGTCTTGCATCTTTCTTGGCTACCCTTTTGGAGTAAAAGCTTATAAGCTTTTCAATCTCAAAACTAAAGTGGTCTTTGCATTTAGAGATGTCTTTTTTTTTTTGAGAACATCTTTCCCTTTCATCATCCTTTATTTCTTCATTTCCTATCAAAATCTGAAAGTTCAGTTGACCCAATCCCCACTTTGTTTCCTATCAGAAATCATCAGCATATGGATGAACCTTCTTCCAGCCCTATCACAGACAATCATCATGTTTCAACCCCTCACAACTCTCCAATTGATTCCACTTTGTTTCCTATCAGAAATCATCAGCATATGGATGAACCTTCTTCCAGCCCTATCACAGACAATCTTCATGTTTCACCCCCTCACAACTCTCCAATTGATTCTTCCCCTGTGGATTCTGCCAATAGTCCATCTCTTCATCCTACCTCTTTACCTGTCACACCTATCAGAAAATCCACCAGAGTCAAACGTGCTCCCTCTTATCTGAAAGATTACCACTGTAGTCTCATCTCTCAATTGTCACCTCAATCGACTTCTATGAAGAAAGAGATTGAATCCAGGATAAAATATCCTATTGAAGATCATTTGGGCTATGATCAATTATCTCCTCATCACAGAAATTTTACACTGGCTCTGTCTACTGTTTTTGAGCCCAAATCTTTTGCTGAAGCTTCTCACCGTCCGGATTGGATTGCAGCCATGGATGATGAATATAATGCTTTAGGTTCCAACAATACCTGGGAGGTTACAGTGCTTCCTGCTCACAAGACTCTAGTTGATTGTAAATGGGTCTTCAAGGTTAAAATGAATTCTGATGGCACTGAAGAGAGGAAAAAGGCACGTTTGGTGGCCAAAGGCTTTACTCAACAAGCTGGTTTAGATTATGAGGAGACTTTTTCTCCAGTTGTAAAGCTAGTGACTGTAAAAACTCTTTTGGCAGTGGCGACTGCTAAGGAATGGCATCTTCACCAATTGGATATTAACAATGCCTTTCTCCATGGTGAATTGGCTGAGGAGGTTTATATGGTTATGCCTCCTGGTTACGAGCAGTAGGGTGAGAGAGGTGAACAATTGATTTGTCGACTGAACAAGTCAATATATGGTTTGAAACAAGCCTCGAGATAATGGAATGTGAAACTGACTTCCTATATTTTATCACAAGGTTTTAAACAATCAAAATCAGATCATTCTTTGTTCGGCAAGACGGATGGCTGCTCGTTCACCATCCTTTTAATCTACGTTGACGACATTATACTTGGGGGAAATGATTTGACTTACATTGATCAATTCAAGGATTTGTTAAATAAGCATTCAAGCTTAAGGATTTAGGCATTCTGAAGTACTTCCTGGGTCTTGAAGTGGCAAGGAACTCAACAGGCATATCAATATGTCAGAGAAAGTATGCGTTAGATGTTCTGACAGATGCTGGGTATCTTGGTGCTAAACCAGCTAATAGCCCCTTGCCATATAATTTAAAATTTAGAAAGGATGAAGGAGAACCTATAGCTGATCCCAGTAGTTTCAGAAGACTTGTTGGAAGGTTCCTATACTTAACCATAACCAGGCCAGATCTTTCTTATCCTGTACAGGTTTTGAGTCAATTTCTTCCGTCTCCAAGACAGCCTCATTTGGAGGCAGCCTACCATATACTGCGATTCCTGAAGAGTACACCAGGACAGGGGCTAATCTTTCCTAGCAAATCTGATCTTCAGTTGAAGGGATATTGTGACGCTGACTGGGCGTCATGTTCAGATACAAGAAGATCGGTCACAGGTTATTGTATCTTCTTGGGGAGTTGTCTAGTGTCATGGAAATCTAAGAAGCAACATACCGTATCAAGATCTTCAGCTGAGGCTGAATACAGATCTATGGCAACAGAGGTCTATGAATTTACATGGTTGAAATATATATTGAATGATTTGGGAATTGATCACGGCAGACCAGCATTATTGTTTTGTGATAATCAATCTGCAATCCACATTGCCAGCAACCCCGTTTTTCACGAAAGAACCAAGCACATAGAGATAGATTGTCATTTGGTGCGAGATAAAGTCCAAGCCAATGAAGTTAAAATGATGTACACGGTTTCTCAGTTGCAATTGGCTAATCTGCTGACTAAGGTTTTAACTGGAGCACGGCTTGCTTTGCTTCTTAGCAAGATGGGAGTGTTAAATTTGCACTCGCCATCTTGAGGGGGAGTGTTGAGATATTAATTAGTTGTTTCAGGGGCATTTCTATCTTTTACTTAGTCAGGGGCATTTCTGTCTTTTGCTTAGTTCATTCCATTGATCGTTAATTAGCCCTCTTTCCATTTTCTGTATTTTGAATTCAGTTGAATCAATTTGATTTCCCGCGTCTCTCTTCTCTCAATTGATTTACTCTTCTCAGTTTAACAGTAATTACGACGTAAATATTACTACATTAAAATGTTTAATTAGTTTAATAGGTATAAATCAAAATACTTGTTTTTATAGGATACAGAGCCTAATTTATGTCATTGTGTCCCGTTTAAAACCCTTAAACACTCCACAACTTCAATAAGGTGTGGCAAAAAATCAGAAAAAGAGAAAAAAAAGAAAGTAATAAAAACATTAAGCTCATATGAGTGCTTAATGCCGAATTTGATTACCTTATTATATTTCTCTCTTTGAGTTACTTACTCCAGTACATTACAATCAAAAAGCATATTAACATTTTTTGCTAAATTCCTCATAATATAGATTATCACCGTAAGCAATTAATAATGATATAAAAAATAAGAAAACCATTCCTTCATGAAAGAAATTGAAACAAGTGCTAGCAAAAATGCATTTCATTGCATTGCCGCTTATTGTTGGCCTGGCTATTTGTCTTTCTTCCCCCAATAATAGTATGTTTCCAAAAAGTTCAAGGGATGTCACATGCTCTATGATATTTTTTCTATTTCAGCTACTGGCCTCAGTTGCCAGGATATGAAATCAAGCTATTAGTGAAGGATTAGGTTATATACAAATTTTCACCTTCTATAAACATCTCCTCCCCCATCAAACCAAAGAGCAGTAACTTCATTACCAACGGGAATTGCAGGCAACCTTCATATTAAATCCTGGAAAACCAAAAAAATGTCAATAACAGTTGATGGAAAAAGACTTAAATGATGACTCGCACCTTCGTTGTTTCATTCAGCACTTCGGCGCTGTTGCCAATCACCTCATGTTAAATGCTATTTCTCTTTCTGTTGTGTATGCTGCAGTATATAGTACACTGAGTATAGCTAATGTATGCAGGGCGGGCCAAACACTCAAGACTTGGTGAGATTCTGATATTCTTCTTTGTGGACCCAATGGATATAAAATCAGATGCTTCCAAAAGCAAGAGCTGGATGAAACATAAAATGGCACCATTGCAGCACCAACTAATATTTTATCAAGGCCGGTAGTGAAGCATAGAGTTCAGCTAAGCACTGGAAGATCCACTTGAGCAACTGTTCTCTCGGTAGCTCCAAAAGTAGTTCAGCCTAAAACACACACACAATAATACATGTAAAATATCTTTGAAGCAAATTACACAACTATGAGACTAGAGGGAGCAAGTTCATAAGAAATGGTAAGTAAGATCGTGAATTCCATAATAGGATCTAGACAAAAAAAATTTGTCACCAACTGGAACTGTCCACAGCCTCTCTATTACATTCTCAGATAGTATAAGCCTCAATAATCAGATTAAAAGAGCGGGTTGAATACTTTAATACATGATCTTAAACAAAGAATGTAGAATATCCTGGAGGATTCCACCTACCAGAAATGTTTATCATACCTTGATTAAGCTATCCTCAAAAACAAGAGAATTTCGATGCATGTCAGATGCCATTGAATCTGTTATTAGCCTGAAAACCTTTTTACTCATCCTTGTTTCCATGCCGACCATCTTACCTGAAGCATATATTCTAGTAATCCCTAAATCTGCTGCCATTCTCCTGACATACAGCTTCTTCAACAGAATTTCCATAGAGTAAGGCTCTTTTCCATGTTGGCAGCGCAGGTTTTCTGTAAACTGAATCAAACTCCATATGTCTTTTTCAGCAGCTTTCTCAGCTTCATCAATTATTTCCAAGGGATTCTCCAAATAATTTATGTACTCAGAGGGGAGATGTGGGTTTATATTCATATCAAGCTAGCATGACAAAATGAAAAGAAGAAAGAATTAGCAGATAGCTTAATCTGCACTTCACGATAAGATAATCCAAATGGTTGATTATTCTTTAAACCTTTCAAAATTTTAAAAATTAGAATACTGTAACAAAATTAATGAGAAAAACAACCAATAAATTCAAGTTATTGGCAACATGATTCTAAAAACGGATTTTCTATTGTGGAAGAGAGATAGAGAGTTAAAACTAGAATCCAAGAAACGGAATCAGTGGTACATTCTGGATGATTGCACAAACCAAATCAAAGGAATCATCCACTTGCATGTTTCAATTTCTAAATTTTGACTGCATAAGTGTGAATTGTGCATTAAAAGACTACTAGACTTATTTGGACATGACGATATTTAAGCAGCACATTTCAAGGTTCTGCTTTTCCCTTTCCTGCTCCAACTTACAACCAAGGTAAACAATCATTCAATCCAGCATCTGACCATAAGTCACAGAATTTGCATAGGATGGTCTGCACACCAACACTACAATTGCACTCCTAAGAATTTGAAATAAGTTCGCCATCAAATCTACTTATTTCCTTTTTTGCAGTAGTGAAATTCATGTTTCAGGACTTAGTGTACACAAGAACACGCATCATCTTGTGGCAAATTGATGAAGTGCATAAGGAGTTAGAATTTATGATGAAGTGGGATCGCAAGGCAAAATAATGATTTCATGATAACTTTGGGTTTGTCCGTTTTTGACGAATTAATAGTCTAATTTGAGTGGAAACGGGCCAAGGATCACAACTCATCGCCTTCGGCCATGACGTACGTCGGATTTCGGACAGATTCCATCGTTTAGGCTCTCGATCACGCGTTTTTGCCGTTTATGGTAATTTTTATTTTGGTAATATCTCATTGAATAAAATTCGGATTTTGATTCCGTTTGTTGGAGGACGATCCTGAATATTAGGAGTTTCCATTTAAGTTAGAATCTCGAATTTTTCCATTTATGGAAAAATATCGTTTTTTTTATTTTTATTATTTATTTTCCGAAATTTGCTAGGGTTTTGCTATTTAAACCATTGTAAGCCCTTCGAGGCAGGCATTATTGAATTGAATAAAAACTTTCGTGAGTTTATCTCATATTTGTGAGGTTTTTCATCTTTCCTATAATCTTCCGCTACGTCAGTTGGTATCAGAGCCGAAGTCGTTCCTTCACCATGCCGCCAAGGAGACGTCCAGAAGCTCGTGAAGTCCCAGTAGAAGAGGTACATAGACGTGATGAAATCACACAGCTGCGTCAACAAGTGGAGTTGCTGACACAGCAATTTGCTGCACTCATGCCGCAACATCATGCGCCGGTGGCCCCGCCGGTTGAGGATTCTGATGATGAGAATCCGTTTGCACAACCTGAGCATCCAGTAGATCTGCCAGTTCGACGGAAGGGGGGTGGTCAGGATGAGAACAGGCGTTGGGAATCAGGATTCAAGGTTGATATTCCTGAGTTCCATGGTGGATTAAGTCCAGAAGAGTTCTTGGATTGGGTGACTGCAGTGGAGGAGGTCTTGGAATTTAAGGAGGTTCCTGCTGATAAATGTGTGCCTCTCGTTGCGACGAGATTTCGTGGGAGAGCAGCAGCGTGGTGGCAACAGACTAAAGTGACGCGATCCAGGTTAGGGAAATCCAAGTTTATATCGTGGGATAAATTGAAGAAGCATATGAAGAAGCAGTTTCTGCCCTACAACTATGTTCGGACCATGTACCAGCAACTGCAGAATCTGCGTCAAGGCGTCAAAACGGTTAGTGACTATACAACGGAATTTTATATGTTGATTACGAGGAATGAGGTGATGGAGACAGAGGAGCAGTTGGTGTCACGATATGTGGGTGGTCTTCGTCCCCAAATACAAGACACTCTGAATATGTTTGATCCTGTGACAGTTTCTGAGGCATATCAGAGGGCATTACAGATAGAGAAACAGCAGGCCAGGAGAAATACAGTTCCTTTTTCTGCAGGCAGTTCTTCCAATAATTTACAGCAGCAGATGACACGTCCTGGTAATCCTACTCAACCTGGTCCTCCTAGACCTAACCCTGTTCAACAGCCAGCGCGTCCTGGAGGTGGTATTCGTTGTTTTGCATGTGGTGGTACAGGTCATAGACAATCTGAATGTCCCAAGAATCCGCGCAGAGGACTCTTTGTTGATGAGAGGTATGACGATTATGAAGGTCCACCTGTATTTGACCATGATGACATCGAGGAAGTCGGAGAGGAGGAAGAGTTTGTAGTTGGTGATGTGGGTCAAGCGTTGGTGGTGAGGCGGAGTTTTCTGACTCCCCTGGAGAATAACACTGACTGGCTGCGTAATAATATCTTTCAGTCGACGTGTACTGTTGGGGGTAAGATATGTAGATTTGTTATTGATTCTGGTAGTTGTGAAAATGTGGTGGCTGAAGAGGTCGTTAAGAAGCTGGGTTTGCAGACTGAGAAGCATCCCAAACCGTATAAATTAGCTTGGTTGAAGAGGGGTAACGATGTAGAGGTGTCTCAGCGTGCTCGAATCAGTTTCTCCATTGGGCCTACCTACAAAGATCATGTATTATGTGATGTCGTAGAGATGGATGCGTGCCACTTGCTGTTAGGGAGACCGTGGCAGTTTGACCGCCATTCGCTGCATGATGGGTATACCAACACGTACAGCTTTCTGTTTGGGGGTAAGAAGATTGTGTTACTACCGGATAAGGGTTCAGTGAAAACAGTGGGAGACAGCGCCAATTTACTGACTAGAGCAAAGTTTGAAACAGAGATGGAGGAGTCTGGGGTCGTGTATGTGCTGGTGGGAAAGTCAATTGACAGCGAGCAGGAGGTTCCTTGTAGGGTTCAGCCATTGCTAAAGGAGTTTCATGAGGTCTTCCCAGGAGAGCTTCCAGATGGGTTGCCACCACTGCGGGATATTCAGCATCAGATTGACTTGGTGCCTGATGCTTCTCTGCCTAACCGGGCGCATTACAGGATGAGCCCCACTGAACATGAAGAGTTGCGTAGACAAGTGGAGGAGCTTCTGGCAAAAGGGCACATCAGGGAGAGTCTTAGTCCTTGTGCTGTTCCTGCTCTCCTTACGCCGAAGAAGGATGGGACGTGGCGTATGTGCGTGGATAGTAGGGCGATCAATAAGATTACGGTGCGTTACCGTTTTCCTATTCCTCGCCTGGATGATCTGTTAGACCAGCTTACTGGTGCTTGCGTATTCAGCAAGCTTGACTTGAAGAGTGGGTACCATCAGATTCGGATCAGACCTGGAGATGAGTGGAAAACAGCATTTAAGACGAGAGAAGGGTTGTACGAATGGTTGGTCATGCCTTTTGGCCTCTCAAATGCACCTAGTACATTTATGCGGATCATGAATCAGGCTCTTCGTCCATTCATCGGTAAATTTGTTGTCGTCTACTTTGATGATATTCTGGTTTATAGTGCTACCGATGATGATCATATCCAGCACCTTCGAGAAGTTCTTTCAGTTCTTCGCAGGGATCACTTTTATGCTGCAGTGCAAAAGTGTTCGTTTTTGACTGATCGTGTTGTATTCCTTGGTTATGTGGTGTCAAAGGAGGGGTTAGCGGTTGACACATCCAAGGTAGAGGCAATAAGCCAGTGGCCACAACCTAAAACTGTTACAGAAGTGCGCAGCTTTCATGGCCTTGCTTCATTTTATCGCAGGTTTATACCACATTTTAGCAGTATCATGGCACCTATTACAAATTGTATGAAGGATGGAAAGTTTCAATGGACCCCCGAAGCAGAGGCATCTCTTCAGTTGATTAAGCAGAAGTTGACTACTGCTCCAGTTTTGGTGTTGCCTGACTTTACCCAACCGTTTGAGCTACATTGTGATGCCTCGAAGGTGGGTATTGGTGGTGTGCTGAGTCAAAACAACCGCCCCGTTGCATACTTCAGTGAGAAGCTTTCTGGTCCGAAGTCTCGGTACAGTACTTATGATGTGGAGTTCTATGCAATAGTCCAGGCAGTTCGACATTGGCGTCACTATCTGTTCCAGAAGGAGTTTATTTTGTATACCGATCATGATGCCCTCAAGCACCTTGGTACTCAGGATAAGGTATCTGCTAGACATGCCTCTTGGATTGCTTACTTGCAGCAGTTTACTTTCGTGATTAAGCACAAAGCAGGTGCCCTTAACAAAGTGGCAGATGCGTTGAGTAGGCGCCAAACTCTCCTGACAGAAATGCGAGTGGAGGTTCCCGGTTTTGATGGTCTTTGTGACTTATATACTACTGATCCATATTTCTCCCATGTTATTCGGAAGTTGCAGGAAGGTGTACAGTCGGAGTTTGCATGGGTTGATGGTTTCCTTTTTCATGGCAACCAGTTATGTATTCCAGAAGGCAGTTTGAGGTTGAAGATTGTTCAAGAATTGCACAATGAAGGCCACGTGGGTCGTGACAGAACATTGCAGCTTGTTGCTGCTTCTTACTTTTGGCCATCTTTGCGCAAGGATGTCGGTAAGTTTGTGGAGCGTTGTCGGACTTGTCATTTGGCCAAAGGCAAGGCGACGAATGCTGGCTTGTATATGCCCCTTCCTATCCCAACCCAGCCTTGGACAGACGTTAGCATGGATTTCGTTGTGGGGCTTCCCAGGACTCAGCGTGGTTTTGACTCTATCTTTGTAGTGGTTGATCGGTTCTCAAAGATGGTTCACTTCATCCCCTGCAAGAAAACTACGGATGCTGTCAATGTGGCTTTACTGTACTTTCGTGAGGTATATCGCTTGCATGGACTGCCTACATCTATTGTGTCTGATCGGGATACTCGTTTCCTCAGTCACTTCTGGCGCAGTTTGTGGCGCTCGGTCAATACAAAGTTGGACTTCAGCAGTGCATATCACCCTCAGACAGATGGACAGACAGAGGTTGTTAATCGCTCATTGGGTGATTTACTACGTTGTTTGGTTGGTGATCACATCAAGTCTTGGGATCAGAAGTTGTGTCAGGCAGAATTTGCTCATAATCATGCTGTCAACCGGAGTACAGGTTTTAGTCCATTTCAGGTAGTTTATGGTCTCGTTCCTCGTGGTCCCCTTGACTTGGCCCCAGTTTCTGCTTCTGTTAAAATGCATGGTAAGGCTGAGGACTTCGTTCAACAGTTACAGCAGATTCACTCGCAGGCTCATGCTCAGTTGCAGGCTGCTGTTAATAAATATAAGCATGATGCAGATCTTAAGCGTCGACATGTTGAATTTGAGGTGGGTGACTTTGTTTGGGCGGTGTTGACAAAAGATCGTATCCCTGCTCATGAATACAACAAGCTTACTGCCAAGAAGATTGGTCCATTGGAGGTCATTGAGAAGATTAATCCAAATGCTTATCGTTTAAAGCTGCCAAGTCATATTCGCACATCCGACGTGTTTAATGTCAAGCATCTGGTGCCATTTCGTGGTGATAATTCTGATGATGATGAGACTTCTTCCCTGTCAAATTCGAGGGCGAATTTTTCTCACCCTGGGGAGAATGATGAAGTGCATAAGGAGTTAGAATTTATGATGAAGTGGGATCGCAAGGCAAAATAATGATTTCATGATAACTTTGGGTTTGTCCGTTTTTGACGAATTAATAGTCTAATTTGAGTGGAAATTGGCTAAGGGTCACAACTCATCGCCTTCGGCCATGACGTACGTCGGATTTCGGACAAATTCCATCGTTTAGGCTCTCGATTACGCGTTTTTGCCGTTTATGGTAATTTTTATTTTGGTAATATCTCATTGAATAAAATTCGGATTTTGATTCCGTTTGTTGGAGGACGATCCTGAATATTAGGAGTTTCCATTTAAGTTAGAATCTCGAATTTTTCCATTTATGGAAAAATATCATTTTTTTTATTTTTATTATTTATTTTCCGAAATTTGCTAGGGTTTTGCTATTTAAACCATTGTAAGCCCTTCGAGCCAGACATTATTGAATTGAATAAAAACTTTCGTGAGTTTATCTCATATTTGTGAGGTTGTTCATCTTTCCTATAATCTTCCGTTACGTCACAAATGCTCAAAATCCAAAATCTAGTCACCCTACCTCTAACCAAATAGAATACCAGCAGGCTTCTCAACTTGAAATTCTATTAACACAACTTTGTAGACATCTTCTCATGTACATGCATATATATAAATCTTATGAAAGATGTACTACATTTTTTGTTTGCTCTCTGGTCTAAGCACTTGCACATCTAGAACTGGTGACTCATGTTTCCTAATTAATTTCCAGTCTCCTTTGTATTTCAATCCTTACTTGGACCGAGCAATCACACTTTTTAATTTGTCTGAAGATTGCAAGGTCTTTTCCCCAATCAAATAGAGAATTAGTACCATTCCAATCTGAAGGATATATGACATATTTTCAACAGATCCACTAGCAAAATTTGATACCTAATACCCAAAAATTCAAGAAACTGAAAACAATCAATATGTATCCAACAAAACTAAAGATTTTGGTTGCACATTACTGAGGCAAGTTGTTAATTTGAAGACAAAAAGAACAATTTCTTGCACAAAATCTATCTTAGAGTAAGCAATACCTGCACTGACTGGTAAGGAACTGAAACTACACGATGTTCGTCAACCTAGAAAAAAATCAAAACAGTTTTGAGACTTTTGATTAGAAATTAGAGCAATTTGGGAAGTTTGATAATAAGGATAAAATCGGCACTATTTCCAAATAAATTAACAAAGAGTCCGGAAAGAATGTTTTCAATTCACAAAGCCAGCAAGCTCTGAACTAATTAGTCATGCAGCACCGAACAGTCTAGTTTTTATCATTATGAAAACAAGACCTAAATGAAATGAAGATCATGAAATTTACATACCTTTGACAGGCTCTCAAAAAGCATTTCGAAGAAAAGATCAATGCCAACATTTCCAACATCCCCTGTTTGTTGCTCGCCAAAGATATTACCAAAGCCTCTAATGGCCATATCTCTTTCCGCAAGTTGAAAACCTTGTCCAAGGTCACGACATTCTTCAAGAGCTGCAAGCCTCTCCTGAAGTGCAAAGACATGAACACTATTTTTAACCATATGTAGGGGATGAAATAATGAACTATTACATATAAGTGCATTTAGCAAATGAAAGTCATTGCTTTCAAGACAAATTGAATGCTGAATGTGATAGTTATTATAATCTAGTTAGAAAAATAAGATCAAAATCAACTATTACATTTGTTTATCTCTGTGCTATATTGGTCTGAGTGAAAATGGAAAAGAAAGGATGAACCTACTCGAGCCTGGTCAGAAAGCAGTGACTTATCCGGATAGAATAAGTGTGCATGAGCCTCCTTATCTGCCCGACCCACTCTACCACGCAACTATAGACATACAAACAGATATATGTCAAAAGATACTAAATAGTAAGAATGACTGGAGTTAGTAACCACGAATAACTCAACATATATTAAAAATACCACAGCTAATAAGACGCTTAAACAAGTAAAAATCTATATAAGCAGCCATGACTGAGTACTTGAATAGCTTGTTCCAGCTCATGGTTAGCTTGTACAATTATTAAGAGTTAAAAGTGTAATAGTGTAAGCAATGAGAGAAATTTCAAGTCCAAACACCCAGCAATCTTTTACTGCAAGGAAAAGAGCCATGACTAAAAAATTCCTCATAAATAATGTCACAAAAATAAGAAGAAAGAATAATTGACAGTAAATTTGGTACAGATCCAGCATGTCACCAATGAAGACAAAAACACGGCAATCATGTACAAAAACTGAAAAGTAGTGGTAAGCAAGTGAAGTATCGTATCTCCCATTCCTTTTCAACAATTCAGAAATGGAGTAGAACCTGATACAACTGTGCAAGGCCAAATTGCTGAACATCTTGAATTATGATGGTGTTAGCATTTTGAATATCAAGCCCGCTCTCAACTATGTTTGTGCATATCAAAATCTTAATATTCCCTTGTGCAAATTGTTCCATGGTTTCCTCAAGCTGCTTTGAGTATTGCTGCCAAAAAGATAAGTTGTCATTCATTATCAACAAATCAAAACAGCTGGACTTGTGCAGCAATAGACCATGTTAAAGTTATTGAAACACATAATCATTGGTAACATCCTTTAGCTAGTGAGAAAACTGCCCAAAACATCTATATAAATTCTGAACCAATTATAAGTTAAAAATACCAAAATTATGGAAATTGATAACTTACACAATCTGATTTCTGCTCTTGTGCATGGCTTAAGTATCTACTAATTCTTCAAGTGATACATAATTACATGAGAAATCAAACGGGCAATTTGAAGTGTCCTGAATATATGGCAACAATACCTAAATATCTGCCAGTTTAAACCTGTTGTGGCTTGCGATCGCCTTCTGACTCCAGTGCATAAGCATAGTTTCTGAAGGCTTGGAAATTTAATTATCTATTTATTAACTTCGAAAACAAGAACTTCTGATTACCAATCTTGTAAACCTTTTTTTTTCTGGAAATGTTATTGGTTTATTGTTCAATAACTGGTTGATGCAAGAAGGAAGGGAAGTCTTAGTCCAGGAGAACATATTCAAGTAGACCTTTGCTAAAGCATACACCTTTTTCCAACTATGGAATATAGTTTTGACATATCCAGTTCAAGGAACAAAGCCGCTACCAGAAATTGGAAATTTGGAACATAATAGATAATACAACAAGTATTTGCATCTCTTACAAAGTAAGCAAATTGTACAATGCTTTAACTGTATTTGAAAGATGATGAACTGTCCAACATAAGGTGACTGCACTGTTTTCCATAATATGAAGTTTCAAGTATTCAGTGTATTATATAAATAGGCTAATATAAATGTAATATAACATTAAAAAAAATACCTTTCCATGAGCTATTGCTATTTCAACGTGTGGAAATGATTGTTCCAGAAATTCCATTACCTCTTCAAGCCCTGTGAATGGCGATGAATATTTCCTTATAATCCAGCCTATGAATATCATTTATAAATAAGAGTTTTGATCATACATGAAAAGGTAAAAAATATCAGGTTACCTTTAATACGAGGCAAAACATAAAAAACCTGGCCACCACGGTCCAGCTCATACTTTATCGCTGATATCACTTTTCCTTTGGAATATGATGAAAGATGGGTTCTTATTGGTACCCTCTCTGGAGGTGGTGTTGATATTAAACTTCAAGTAAAAAAATAAAATGTGTAAGACTGAGAGAAGTACATTACAAAATATTTTAGGACAAACAGTTATAATCCAAAATAAAGTCCTAAAAAAGGCATGTATCAGAATACAAAACCAATTTTGAATCCCAAAGGGACAAGACAGTGAGCCAGATTTATTCAATCAGAAAATATCCGCCCATGTTTACCCACTATCTCTCAGTTACATGATTTAGCAAGATAATACAATAGTTGAAATGAAACATTGTCTGAATGACAGAACACACCAAGGATTAAAATAGAAACCACCTGGCATCACGGAACCCAGTCAGTGCTAAATAAAGGGTTCTTGGAATAGGCGTCGCCGAAAGTGTGAGGACGTCAACTGAAGTTTTGAATGATGCAATTTTTTCCTTTTGTTTTACGCCAAACCTCTGTAAAAAAGGTATTTAACAAGTCAAAACCATCCTAAGTTGTGTAGCATGTCAAAATTTTACCCTCCAACTTACATACTATGCACCATTGACTTTACTGTTCAGACAGTTGGCACTTAATATAGAATATATAAATGACTAGAAAAGCAATAAATTTAGTACAACTAATACCATTCGGAAAATTTCTTGCTTTAGTAAACTAATAAATGGAAAATATAGCTTTCGGAAAGGACTACTACAGAAAGTCTGTGATATAAATGTCAGGATGATGGAAGTTCATCAAAATAATGTTGGATTACTCAAGAGAAAAACATAGAGGAGAAGAGTCAAAATTGTATTCTATGGTCACTTCAATGAACTTTCCTTCTAGAGCATCTGGTAGTGACCGTAGTAACAAAAGAGTGAACACATCTTATTGGGCCAGTTACATCACTTAACTGGGAGATGGGAAATGACTAAGAGTCTATTCCATGAGAAACAAGACTAAAAGATAGAGTTCAATCTAGACAAGGTTATAGTGGTTTTGAATCTTTTGATTAACTAGGAATTTTTATTTTAATAGTTGTTATTATTAGAAGTTCCCTAACTTAAAATCTCATTTGTATAAAAGGGGATCTAAGTTTTTCAACTATTGCTGACTTTGAATATATAAGATTTTCCTCATTGATCGCCTTTCAATTCATTATAAATGACTAAAAGTACAGTAGAAGATAGGAAGAGGGCAAACCTGCTCCTCATCGACAACAAGAAGGCCGAGATTGTTGTATACAACACGACTGCCAAGTAATGAATGAGTTCCAACAATGATGTTCAAGTGGCCACGTTTAATCATGTGTAGATACTCATCTTTCTCTGACTTGGTCTTCACAATACAATAGGTTAGTTCCCACTCAAAACTCAAAAGTGGAACTTCAAATAGTATTTCTTGCTGCTTTCATAAAGTAAAAAAGTAGCAACATACCACTTTTCCAAGGTGTTGCTTTACCACCTTTGGAACAGTGGGATGTTTTACTTTACACAACAATACAAGTAATCACAGAAAAGGTCTAAATGGTCGAGGAAATTTATGTTTCTTGCCTTGTGGAGGGAGGCGAAAATTTTCATTAAGGAAATCAAAATGCACAAGGCATTTTATTGATAATTCATTATTAACTTTTTCTTGAGGGTAGAAGCAGGAAAAAGATGCCTAAAGTAACATGAAGATTGAAATGTCCTCAAACAATCCGTATGTGGCTACCGGACAGAACGATATAATTAGGTGATCTTATCATACCTGAAACCTACTCAGCAGTCCAACCTTGATACTAGGATATCTTGAGAATCGCTCTGAGATAACATCAAAATGCTGTTTGGCTAAAACAATTGTTGGTGCTAAAACCATGGCTTGCTTACCAGCTGAGATCACACAAAAGATGGCACGTAGCGCAACTTCAGTTTTACCAAAACCAACATCTCCACAGATAAGTCTGTCCATAGGATTTTCTCTCTCCGTCAAGTCCTTCTCCACATCCACGAAAGCCTATAGAGAGAATCTAAATGGTGAAAGACAATAGGAGAATCCCCAAAAATTAGCTATATGTAAATATTGTCTCAAGCAAAGGCAATAACAAGAGGTAATTGACAAGCACAACTTTGTGATGAAAGCAAGGTAGGTCTGACAATAATAACAAAGACTCTAGAACAAATTCATTTCTTCAGTCTTATCTAACAATAATTGCATGAAATTCTCAAAGTAAATGAATATCTACTTATCTTCTTCAATTCTTCATTAAATATACAGAAAGATTCTAAGCTCTGCAAGTATTTCAATAATTTGACCAAGTAAACAAAGACAAGCAAACAACTGTGCGCTACCTGTTTCTGATCTGGTGTGGGTTGATAAGGAAACTGAGATTCAAATTCAGCCATGGCAGGAGTCTTTGGGTAGGGGGGCCTTCTTTGTTTGAGCCTGTGTAGATACAGCTCCATCAGGTCGACAACCATTTTCTGTATTGCAACTTTTCCCTTTATTCTTCTCTTCTCCCATGCACTAGTGTCGTTCAATTTGCTCAAAGTCCTTGGCTTTTTGGTTTCATTTGGACTGGAAAGTGAGAAAATCAAACAGCAGACGAATTGCAACATCAAATTCTTGTTACAGGCAATCAGATATCCGACTTGCATTGAAAGTACAGAATTCAGAAAAATTCCGAGCAGGAAAAGGGGAACAAAAAAAGCAGCAAAACCTACAGATTATAGCGGTAGAGCATACGGGAGGCCTGTTTGACAGGAAGCTTAGCCATTCCATCAGCGTACTCAATGAACACATACTCAATTGGTTGAGAGGAATCTTTGGGCACATCGAATTTAATGCCAACAAAACGTCCAACGCCTACCTTCTTGTGCACGACATAATCCCCGGAACGGAGCGTGTAAGGATCAACTTTATAACTGAAGGCACCGCCGGAAGTCCCCTCAGTCCTGTCGCCCTTGAGCTTCTGGAGGCCCCTCTGCTGCTGCTCCTTGACAAGCTGAATGTACTTATCAGCCTCCTCCGAGTCCATAACCGGCTTGGAGGACGACGAGTCTCGCTTACTGTGGTCTCGGCGAATCCTCTCGTTGAGCAAAGATATGGAGTCCCGCTGCAAATCTGCCGCCGTTTGTGAGGGAATTGAAATTCCATTAAGCTCACGAACTGTAACAGCTCCTCTTGCTCTTATCCGTAGTAAGGAGAAGGAAGGGCAGCGTTTTCTAGTCCGCCATTTAACGTGAACAAGCTTATCCTTGTCCTTTTGTGGAGCAGATAAAACATCCACGGGGATTGGGAATGGAAATTGGAAGAGAGATGTTTTAGCAGCCGCCATTTTTGAGGTTTATGGGGAAAATTCAAAATATTTTGCTTCCTTACACATCACTACCACTATTACATTGCAGGAAGATAAGACGGGCTCAACTTCAAGATATTTTTAGCTTAAGAGTTCAACTCAGAATTATAACTCAGTTCTATTGTAACTGTGTGGAAAAGGATTTTTCTTTTTTTTTTTTTTTTTTTTTTT